GCGCGACAGACAGAGTTACATTCACATTTGTAATATGTATTAGCACAGATAACATAATATTAAGTACATAGTATTAGTAAGGAAGTAAGGATATATATGTAGTACTAGCTGATCCCGCGACTTGACCGCGTGGAATTTAACATTATTTTTCTAAAATAAAAGTAGCCTAAGTTACTCCTTATTACATCAGCTACTTGCCAAAAAATACCGTCAAAATCGGTGCAGCCATTTCAGAGATTAGTCGCATCTAACAGACAGACAGAAAAAATTGTAAAAAATGTTACGTATGTACCGTATTTATATTCATATATCAGTAAAAAACGGTTATTTCAATATTGCAAACAGACACTCCAATTTTATGGAAAAATACATTTCGTATTTATCTCGAAGGGTAGTAGAAATCAGCTCGTGACCACGGCTAGTGCAACCTAGTTTAAACGTAGAGAGAGGTAATTACCTTTATTTGCCATAAAATTATCAGTATTAAAACCCGTTTAACTATATGAATACTAAATGCGAAAGTTTGAAAATAAGTAATAAATGCTTGTTATTGTATACACTATACACAAATTAGAGATATTCCCACGTCGTATATCGATATTTGCCCCAAATATAATTGTATCTGTAACATTTCATACAATTCGGAAGTCCGTTTAACAGTTCTCAGCATGTGTTCCGTTGCATCATTTTTTTTTCAAAATGGCGTCTTTAATTGGGTAAATGGAATGTTGTCATTGCGCCCAGCATGCAGTCTTTGAGCATTGATATCTATTTTTAATTTATTGTCGCTTAATTATTTAAATATTTGGATGGATTAGATCCTTCCTTAGCTTCCTATATTGTTGTCCTAAATAGTATTGAAGTGAAAGAAGTTTGCATGGCGAATGTTTGCGCGGGAGCGTGGATACCTACTTATAGATACATATCTACTTATTGGGATGTACTCGATATCGCTGACGATCGTGTTGATCTAGCGGTTTAGCACCATAGCTTTACTTTCTATGGTCGTGGGTCGTTTCCTCGCACGATACAAATGTTTGTATTCATGAGTATCATTGTTTGTATCGGTCTGTGTGTTTTTTATGTGTTAAAATATAAAAATATGTGTCTATGTATTTATATGAATTATCTAGTACCTATAAAACAAGTTGTGCTTGTCTTGTGACTAGATGTCGCTGTACCTGTAAATTGACGTGACATGCAAACCTTCACGCTACCAGCAAATAGGAGCCAATACAGTATATAGAAATGTAATAGAAATAATCTTTATTCAAATTATAGTGTAATAAAATCAAACTATGACTATTCAAATTTGCTTTTGAATAGTCATATTTTTTTATTCTACCACTCATTCGGAAAGCTGACTCATTACTAGAAGAAAGACTACATGCTTGTTGCTCTTTTAAATAAATATAGTTAAGTAAACACACATTAACCAGGATTAGGCATGCGACAATCAACAAAGAAACCGTTATGCACTCAATCTTTGTACATGTACGTATTTACAAAAACAATGTATCTATGTATTTATATTAGTTGTCGACTACTCGTAAGAGCCGTTCAGCTTAGCTTGGTACTATATGGCGCGGCGTCGATTACTGAGATTTTATTATAAAACTAGCTGTTCCCGTGACTTCGTCCGCGTGGCTTTAGTTTTAGTTTTCTAAATTAAAAGATTTTTCTAAAATAAAACTAGCCTAAGTTACTCTTTATTACATCAGCTACCTGCCAAAAAAAGTCCCGTTAAAATAGGTCCAGTCATTTCTGAGATTAGTCGGAACAAACAGACAGACAGACAAAAATTGTAAAAAATGTTATTTTGGTGTATGTACCGTATTTATATTCATATGCATGTAGTAAAAAACAAGTTATTTCAATATTACAAACAGACACTCGAATTTTATTTATATGTATAGATTAACAAAATCATGAGCACACGGGCGAAGTTAGTGTATTATATTCTTTGAAATCACAAGTGTGCCATCGATTCAAGATCGAACACAAAGCAATAAAGTCAAAATATTTTGCAATAACAAATTATTTTTATTCATCCTTCGGACAAACGGACGCCGGAAGTCCGTCCTTTAGAAGTCTTTGCGTAAGTTTTTTTGATAATAATAGTCAAGAATGAATGATATATCATTTATAACATTGGGCATACGGAGGCTATTTGTAACCTATGAACATAGATACCTAATACTATTATATTCTTTGGAGCTCCGTACAAAAAATCATATATTGTATAGTTCATAAAAAAAGTTTAAAGAAATATTTGGAATGATTTTCTGTTCATTCCATATTTATAATTATTATTATAAAGACTCTAACATTTCGGAGAATAATTTGGATGATAGAGAGTTCTTGTCTATGTTTTCCATTTGAAAAACGCGTGAGTAAAATGGGAGTTAAGTATAGATTATACTTAACTCCCAGTTTTACCCACGCACTTTTCAAATTGAAAAATTTAATTTATATCTAAATTAGTAATTGTTATGACAAATATATATCTACTACTTAATCATCATTGTCATCATCATTTCAGCCCGGAAGATGTGCACTGCTGAACAAATTCCTCCCCGAAAGATCTTCACTACTACATAATGGATTTATATGGTCTGGGTGTTTTCTATGTATAATATGTATGTATTTACGAAACTAATAAATATGTATTTTATCCGTCGTGTAGTACCCATAGCACAAGCTAGCTAGCTTAACATGGGTCTAGATGGCGCTGTGTGAATGGTCCTGAGATTATTATTATTATTGTTTTTTTATATTTATATTATATATCTCCCTTTAATAGGGTTTTGTGCGACTTTTACCCCATCAAATAAATTACCAAACAATGACTGTATAAATGATGAATGATGAGGATTAAGATTTTTAAACGGAAGACAAAAATTTGCGGACTATTCTACAAATTTATTATTATTTTTTAAACTTAAGAAAAAATATTATTACATTATTTTGTTTAATTCTGCTGCAAATAGCACGTGTTATACAACGAATATTTTATACGGAAACTTGACTACCGTTACGACCTTCTCAAATGGTGATTTCTGAGATCGATTTCAGAGAAACGTTTAAGTAAATTTGTTAAGATTTTGTGTAAATTAAATTAAATACTAAGTTACAACCCCGATGGGGGTAATTAGTGTATAGAAACACTACTCGCACGGTCCTATCAAGTCCCCAAACTAAGCTTGTTATGTGGGTATTGAATAACCATTAGACATATTATTTTCTATAAATACACAAATAAAACTACCAGACCAAAATCTTATTAATATTATAAATACCAAGTTTGTGAGTATGGATGGATGTTTGATACTCTTTCCCACAAAAACTACTCAATGGATTTTGTTGAAACTTTACAGTAATATAGTAGGTATATGCATCAGAATAATATATGGGCTATATTTTTGATTGAAATTAACGCTGGTGAAATAGCTAGTAAACATATATAAATACAATTGTCCGGATTTTCTCGTGAGGAGAACGGCTATTAATCTAACGGTCCATTTGATGTTAATTAACAACTGTCCCTATATATACTACACTACTGTTCACGTGGTTTTGGCAGCATGAAATTTATAGCCTAAGTGTTATTCTGATGTATAAGCTATATTAAGGTATGATTTCATCAAAATCCGTTCAGCAGTTTTTACGTCTATTCATCGATACTCACATACTTTCATGCATAGTATTTGATATAAGCCTTCAGATATTGAATATCAGACTCATAACCGTATTCCTCATTTATTTATTACATTACTTTAATAACTACATACATAATGTACATAGGAAATACTCAGACCGATATAATTAATAATTCTCAGGAATATGTGTTTGTACCGTGTAAAGAATCGAACCCGATACCAAAACATTAGATCGTGCTACACCACTAGACCATCAAGGCCGTCACTACAAAAGGACATGAAAAAAGATTGAAAATAAAACTAAGTACAAAAGGCGATCTTATCATTAATGACATCTCTTCCTTATACCATTTAAAGAGAATTCACAAACAATAAGTCGACTGAAATTTTTAGACTTGCCATAAAATAACCCTAAAAATTACTATTATAACCCTAGACATTTAACATAGTGCTATTAGTCCCAAACTAAGCACAACTTGAGTTATGAGTACTAGATAACTGATATATATACCTAGATTTTTTTTGTAATTACATACATAACATACATAGAAAACACCCAGACCGATACGAACCATCATACTCATGAATACGTTTGCATCGTGCAAGGAATCGAACCCGCGACCATCACAAGTAAAGCGGTGCAAAGTAAAGCCTATTCATTAGGCAGAGCGGGTGAGATCCCTACATAATACCTATTACGATTGAAAAGAGAAATTGAATTATTAGTATTGGGACTATGAGCCCATTGCTAACAATACAGTAAACCGCATCAGGTTGACCTCTACATGGTCCTCCTAGAACGTAGCCAATCCCTTGAGAATTTATCATACAAGCTTTATCCACTTCCTTTTATACTCCACTCGTGTTTTATTACTTGTATCATTAGTGAAGGCGAGATTGTTATTCAAATCACTAAAAAATGACTTCCATAAACGAATGAAAGAAACTGCAAATTATTCGAAAATTATAATTTATTTATTTATATATCTATTTTATTACTTTTCTTAAGTACGTATAAAATATACCTATACATTTATTTTGTTGATACAGTACATTTGTGTAAAAATGTTTTAGTATTATATATATGTATACCAAATTATGTACAAAATTACATAGATTAGTATTAAATAGATAGTTAAGTACAATATTTAAAAATATAAATGAATATATAGAGGTATTTATTTCTTTGTATCTACTATTTTTGTACAAATATCTGCATTTTATTTGATAAACATACAACAATAAAATTATTTTATAACAAACTATCTTGACGCTATTTACAATATTTTTTCTCTTAAATATTATCAAAAGGCCGTCGACACTAAACAGCCTGAGAAACCATCAGTAACCGTACAAATAAGGGAAACCGCCAACGTGCGGCACGGCTGAAAGAGGTACGAATACTGGCATCATTCTCTCCGCTTGCATATAATGAGTTCTCGTGTGTTTCTTCAAATGGTCACGTCTCCCGAACTTCTTTCCACACGTGGGACATGGAAATGGACGCACGCCGGAATGTATTCTTTTATGCCTCGTCAATTCTTCGTTTCTGGTAAACGTTTTTCCACAATTTTTTTCATCACACTTATAAGGTCGCTCGCCTGTATGAATACGGATATGCCCTTTCAGTTGTCCGTTATTTGAGAAACCTACTTGACAATGTGGACACTTATATTTCTTTGGACGCTGCTTTCTTGCATTTAAGAGTTTCGCTTCATTTTCTTGTTGTAGTATTCTAGCATACTCTAATTCCATTGCGTATCCTTGTGCTAGAGATTCTAATAGAAGAGGATCAGTTGGTGGAACTCCTAATGCTTGAGCTATTTCAGCACCAGGAAGATAATCAGGCATGTATGATGGACTGTACATATGAGGATGACCTATAACAGTAGCTGGTATAGGGGTATGTGTATAGGAATTTTCGGCAGGAGCAGGCAGTTTATCACATTCCGTTTTATTTTCTTTTTTCTTATCAGCTTTTATTACGTCGGATCCTTGTAGAAGTCTGTCGCAACATAAACTAAGGCTTGCTACGGGAGATTCCAAATCTTTCGGTGCTATATCTTTGCTACAACTTTTCTTATCTTCGTCACTATCAACGGTCGTAGTCGATACTGTTGCATCTTGGTGAACATTGGCATCTGCCTTCTTATAAGTTCCACGGATTTTTCTCAATCGGTTCTCTCTCTTTTCCTCCAATTTTCTTCTCTTGTTGTCTACATCTACTTTGGTCGTTTTATTATTGATTAGATCTTGATCCTTTTTTTCATTATCACTAACATCCCATGGCCTAAAGAGCCTAGAGTAACTTTGTTGAATGGATAACATGTTTCAAGTAAATTCACAGTATTGTCACACGCGATCAAAGTCATCGACTGGGCCCCTTTTTCAGCCCAGCAACTTTTATATACATTCCTTTAACAATAAATTTAATAAAGGCGCCCAAAAGTAGAGGGATAGCCTATGCCATTCAATGGACGAAAGAGACGAAATATTTTTCAATTGTTGCACACTTGAGGTTTTGTGAAACTTTTTGTTTATAGTATAACATTATTCATCTGATTTATTACTTTATTCCGCAGTCTTACGGTCGATATTTCGTGGCGTGCGTATTGTCGGTTATGCTTCTATTGTGCAAGCGCTGTCATAGTGTTTGAGATAGGGGTGTGTATTGTTATTTATGTTGATTTTTGTGCGTCGTCCGGAGGGCGGGCCCGGGGGCCGAGCGATATGCTTGAGTGGCCCTACAGCTGCAACCTTGTTTGTTTTAATGGTTTCTGCAATTGTTGCGGTTCCCGACATATTCCTATATTACATATGGCGGGTATATATGGAGTTTGTTTATGGGAGACTAAACAATTTTGTTCTTTTGTTACAGTTATAGGGAAATGTTCGAATTAATTTACTACAGCTTTTCAAGAGCTTTGCATCATATGCATTAGAATGATTCTAGTGCATCAAGTATTACAGAGAAATTAATACTACGATTAGTTGGCATCGTCGTTATGAGAATTGAAACATAATTTGTAACAACCACTACAGACTTCTAAAAAAGAAAAGTTTGCACAATTTCACACAATTTTTTTTATTTAAGACTAGGTATGCGGTTAAATATGATATATACACTATGCAAACAAACTTGCAAATATGCGCGCAGAAAAAAAATATATTCCTCTAATTTATACAAGGTTTTATAGTCCGATAGTATATTTTTATTAAAAAAATATGGTGTTATTAATAAAGTTACATTTTATTATTGCTGCCAAACTGATAAAAGACATGTCGTTACTTCTATAGTGACCAAAACTAATAACTACAGATAAAATACTTATCAACATTTCTTACCTTTATTTTTGTTTAATAATGCTTTTATTCATGATCATGACCATGGATACAAGTCCTTCAGTCGTTTTTGTATACATAACATAAAAATTTAAACAAACTTAGAAATTTTACCTTTAGTTTAAATCGGCTTTCCCGCATTATCAAGCCCACCTCAACTAAAACAAAACATTGTTTTGTATGGAATTGTGCATTTTTTTTTCAGAAGTATAACGCATATATTAATTCGTGACTGACTTCTGAAAAGTGCGGTGCCTAGTCTTATAAAAACTATTGTATTATAAGTAATTGCTCTGTGATTGTAAGTTTATTTTCTGTAAGTAAACGCAATAACAATAACCTATAAACAATTTATGGAGTTCTTTTTTATTGCCCAAAAATAATGTTGAAAATTGCAAATGTATAAGAAGATAGAATGACCTCGATCAATTTCCTGGTTTTATTATAAAAAGCATTGCTGTCGGGTACCACACAATTGATTGAATGAATCAATCTAAACAAATCCAGTTATAATCCTACACAATACTGCTTGATTGCTCTATAGTTTGATATGTAAGTATTCCATATTCAAACAAAATTTTGGAATTGGCGCGAACTGTCAAAAACCACAGACTAGGATGATTGATCACGCGGCAGCGATGCGTTTCGAAGTTTTTAATATTTTTGTTGTGTTATGCCACATATTGCATAAAATAATTTTATTATTGTGATCTTGTAAGTTTTAAATATCTGTGATTAAAACAAGAACAAAGTATCAGTATAAAAAGTATAATGTTTTCATTTCACTAAATATTTCAAGTATTAAGTTGACAAATGAGTCTCCGACTCCATATTACGGAAAATACCTAAATACAGTTTTAGACATATTTGGCTCAATGGTAATTTAAAATATTTACATGCAAAAATTTGTAAATATTTCTACTAGCTTAAGCATCAAATGAAAGAATTGATTCTATTAAAGATTACATGAAAAATATAACATTGTCTCGAACGAATATTTTTTGAGGAATTATTATAAACTGTCACCAAGATACATAAAATAATAATTGCATTTAATCATCAATCATCTGTAATATACATCGTCTCGACCAGCAACATCGTATATTTACCCGCAACACTCTTCACTAATATATTAACTGCTATATGTTATATTCTAATTGAATTTTAATCATATTAAGCAAATATATAGGTACTTTCGATTACCTACGTCGTTCTTAGATAAATAAGCTATTGTAAGCTATTGTTCTGAATAGTATTTTTCATGGAAATAAATCTGACGGTCCACCTGATGGTAAGTTGTGATTGAGATGAGAGTACGAATTGAATATGTTTTAACTTATTAGATTCAAAAGTAGTTTGAGTTACTACAATAATATTTTGAACGTTCCTATTTGGCTACGTAATCCCAAATATATACGTACTATTAGAAGTAGGTTAATATTTATTTAAAAAAAATAATTGAAAACAATATAATGTAATAATAAGGTACCGTTAATAAGCATAGATTTTTTTATCTGACTACAACTATGTAATATTATGTTATCTGTGCTACAACTAAGTATTGTAGCTCTCAGCAATTTTAAGTTCAATTGAGGAATGTAACAGAACGATTTTCCGTAGTTAATTATTTTTTTAAAAATTCAATACAACAATCAAAAAATTACAATGAGCGATCACCAGAAACCCCTACTATTATCAAAATAATAACGAACACGGTAAGGCTCGATTCGTCAAGATTTTGACAAGACGCCTCTCGAATGTTTTTCATAGTTTCGTGTTATTTTTATGCTTAGCGAACTCCCGCCTTTGGCTGCCACGGGGGCGAATGATCGATTCCACTTCATTTTTTCCATCTCTTTGATCTATCGATTAAATCTGTCACCTATAGATAGAGATTAGTTGATTTTAAATGTTATTAAAACAAAAAAAAAAGGAATTCAATCGAGTTTCATAGCAGTTCTTCTTAATTAAATCTGTATAGTGAACTGGACGGTAGGCAAAAAAATATTAATACAAGAAACTTGATGTTTATAAGCGGCTTAAATATCCTACATAAATAAATTATTTTAGATTTGATTTGACTTGATTGATTTTTTCAATCATAAAATCTGAATTATTAATATCAGAAATCAGGTGGCAATAATAAAAATAAATATACAAGCCATTCATTCTGATAACGCGTAACTATGTAATATTGTCTTATCTGTGGCGTAACTAACCATTTTGTAGTCGATTACCATTTTAAAGGGACTTATTTAAATATATTAAGATGCATTTGGAAAAATGGAAGGGAGTCTATTCTTCCAATTTTAGAATACAAAATAACACGACGATTAATACTTAAAATAGCTTTAGAAAATAAACATGATTTGAATTAGCATTTATTTGTTTTACTATTATATTTTTGTGTTATAAATAAATAGTGAAATTTGTCATGAATGTCTCTAATTTAACATTTTAAGCAAGTAACAATTTAATATTTTAAGCAAGATGGCGTTGTATAGCCAGTATAATACTTGTCAACAATTGCCTATTTAATATTTTCGTAAACATTATAGATAGATTCGATAAAAAGGTATCATATTTTTTATGATACTAGTTTAACACAAAAGAACTGTCTTTTCTTTCTTTTTAAAATTGGGCATGATTGTAGAAAATATAATACATAAGATAAGAAAGGAATACCATTGTTTGTGAGAATAATTTATCACCAAGAATATTCTCTTTAAAATTGAGTGAGATTGAAGAAGACATAGAGATAAAATACACATACCTAATAATTAATGTATTCCTCCTCATACGATTCTAAAAAGAAGATAGCAATCTCGTTTTAGGATCAGTAAAGAATTGCACACCCAAATTCACTGATCCATTAAAAATCAAAAACCTATCAAAGTACAATGCGGTCATTCAAAATTGATTCATGCACTCGGAATGCCTTAATTTCTTTATGAAAATCGTATAAATCTCAAATATAAAGAATCGGAGATGATTCTAAGTACCTTTTAGTAGAATTTCTGATATCCGTGACGAGTTCATAATATTTTTTTTAATGTTGGAGTGCTCTATTTTTTTTTTGATGCATTGTAGTGGTCAATTACTACGGCTGTCGTGAATGGTGCAACTTTTGTGAATGGACACGAAAAATATGTAACTATAACAGGGTGATCTAGTTTTGTCGATAATAAAATATTACTTTATTAAACCAAGAATATGTAGATATATGTAATTTCTTTTTGTTTTAATAAAACACTTGATACGACTGTATATTTTTATTACAATTTTGGTAATAATTGAAAAGTTAGTTATATTAGAAAATATTAGTTTTAATAGAAGCGGAGGTATCAAATGTGTCTGATGAGTGAGAGGTGTTAAGGGTTTTAATGAGGAAAATTCGGAGATAAAATAAAATGCAACCAGTATGACAGCGATATATAATAGAAAGTAACAAAAAAGATAAGTCAAAGAATATATTATTACAAAATTTTAAAATACTCGTAGTATAAAAACTTATCAAGGAGTTCGCTACAAGTACAATACAATACCTTTGTAACAGTGGATTTCAAATTGACGCTGTAAAAATCTTTCCTCATAAAAAAAATTTTCGTTTACTATCTCTCTCTTTATCATAATATTAGTAAAGAAAAAACAGTTAAAGTTAGAGTTACGGAATTATTAGGCCACGACGCGGCATAGGCGGCGCATCATCTAATTGTTTCTCAACATTTAGTAATCCCACTGTATATTTAAAATATTCGCGACAGTCATGTGTGGTCCATGTTTGAGGAGAACTATCGCCAAACCTCGTAATCTGTGACAAGAACAAAAACGGCCATAAATCCAAAATGGCTGACATGTCATTGTGGCGAGGCCCATTCACAAACGGGCAGACTACTTGACGCCGTCCTGCGTTTTCAATGCAATTGAGTTATTTAATAGTGAATTGGTTACTTATACTTTACGACTTTTTTTGTTAAATAAATTAA